ACACGAAATAATTTATACAGGAAATAAACTCATGAAATTCAAACCAGCCCTTCAACCAGTCTTATATTTACCACCAACTTGGCGAAATGGTGTCTGAAATTGTCCTCCCACATTTGACCCGTCACTTTTCCATTGCACAGTTAAATCACTGTCTTTTCTATGAGTGGAACCCTAAAAAGAATCTTGTCACCAAATCTGGACCATTTGACAGGAAATGGTCAAGAGTAATGCTTCTCATAAGTTGGGGATATATTATTCTGCAAATTATAGGTTTAATTATCTCCTCGGCCACTCCAGCGGAAAAAATATTTCCAGGAACCTTGATGTATTTGTATATCGCATGCAGTTCCACGGGGATTGCTTGGAGTGCGGATCCTGCCAATTTGAAATTAATGAATATCATTTATGGGTCAGAGCAGAGGTCACGACAAGGTGAGAAAATAATGAGGCAATTCATTGGTAACTTGTAAAGTGCGTAACTTTGAAAACTTTTGTAAAATATAAAGACGCCCTGAGTGTTGGGTTAAATTTGCAAAGATTTGTAAGAGAATTTGGCTCCGGAATATTTTTAAAAGTTTATAACTTGACAGAATTTTATAATGTTCCACGCACTACTTGAATTGTTTGAAAGTAAAATTTTAACGAATAACTAACAAAAAGCTCCTATTTTTTAGATTATGACAGGAACAGTAAAATCTTATCGACTCTTATCAACTTGGCCTACTCCTTACTAAATTTCACCGCGTATGTGGTATTTCCACCCGCCATTGTCGTCATGCTGGTCATTTTACCATGCCAAAAGCCACTTTTGGGATCCTTCCTCCTTCCTGACGACGAATGTTCGAGACCCCTCTTCCAATCCATTTGTTGCATAATGCTCATCCTCCGAGTTTTACTAATTTTAGTAGAATTTATTCAACTATGCCACCTCGTCGTCGTCGCTACTCACTACACAGTCTACATAATGGTATCGGGAATTCTCTATGTTTGGGAGGAAACCATAAAAGTCCTTAGATTCCCATCCTCTCTGGAAGGATACAGAGACCTGCAAGTTTTGGAAACGATTTTAAACACGTCAATTCGGTTCAGAATTTTTCCCACCCTTTTGACTGTAGCCCCGACTTTGGAAATATTGGCGATCTTTGCGGGCATCAAGTATCACGATGCGATTGGTGGAATTCACCTCGTTCTTACTGTACTGCTTGCATTAAATGCGACCGTTTTGAATGTGATGTATTGTACCGGAGCGGGAATTGTGTGTAGGAAAAGTGGGGAGTATTTGAGAGATATGAAGGCAAAGGTTAAAAGTAAGGTGGAGAAAAAATTGCTGAGATCGTATGCACCCCTGAAGGTAAGATTTGGTAGTAATTTCATGGATGTGACGAAGCCTTTGATAATTCAGCAATTTTGTTCTATTCAAACGGCAAATTTGTTGCTTTTATCATATAAATAAGTGTGATTTCTTCAAGAAGTCGTGTACTAGGTTATTGTCCTTGTTTAAATAGATACATTTTCTTAAATCTATTACTAACATTACTTAGATATGTACATATCTCCTGATCCACTACATAAATCCTTTTAATCAGCTTCTAAGTAATAACAAATACAGGTTTATTTGTTGTTAGGCAATCTGTCGAACACTACCAAACGATATAATATTAAACTAACAATCAGTTTTATTAAATCTTTGCATGCTATTTTTGGCCATTAAATGTATCCATTATCTGTATGTGGTGTGACAAATTTTAGCATCATAAACGAGTTGAGACGAATGCGGGTGTCTGTATAATCTGTAGAACCGGTGTTTCCTAATGATGATGAAATAAATAAAAAGCATTTGCATAGGACTTATTATTTTGTGTAGTAAAAAAGAAGACATGCATGTATAAATATTTACCTTAAATGAGACACCCAAGTAGTCGTACAATTGCTGACTCAAATGGGTGACAACTGGGTAAAAATGGTTAGAAATGTAAACTGACTAGGGATACCTTTTCTATGATAGTTGAAAAATGAGTTCTAATTTAACTTTTCGTATGCACCATGATATGTTTTGATTACAAAGTGCAAAAATTTTTCTGCAAAACCAATTTGCTAATTTTTTAATAGCCTTCAAAGTTGGCGAAAGTGGGGGTGGAATAGGCAGAGTGGGAGTGTGTGGAGATGGGGGCGGTCGTATCCCTCGCTATACACTACCACCACCTGTTACGGTAATTATGATCTGGTTATTTTTCGCGACACAATTCTATGTTTAATCTTAAAATTATGGACCCAAGTTGAACTAGGTTTGAATGGCAAAGATAATTCTTTAGATTTTATAATTTTCCAGCGTTTTATATCCACTTCACCAATGTGTATTACAGATTCTCTTGCAAAATTAAATCTTTCGAATACAAAATCTTCTATATCTTTTAACTTCTTCAGTTTGTTGCCATTCTGGTCGATGTACGTCTTCATCCGAGAAATTGTTGCATAAGTAGATATTTTAGGGAAACGTCGTCTAGTTTTAAACAATTTATTTGACTTAACACTGTCGTAAAACTTTAAATCTTTATCCTTTCTTCGAGATTATAATTATTATAAACTATTATTACTTTCAATCTCCCATTCCTGCGATGATGATTCTTCGGAAATTGTGTCGGTTTGAGCTGCACTGTCACCGTAAATGTCAATTTCATCGTCACTGGAAATTTCCAATGCATCGAGCGTTTCACATGTACTAGTTGAAAAATTAAGTAAATTTTTTAATAAAATCAGTCCTTCACTTGCTAAGTCGTTAAGATTTAAGCCACTGTCAATTATCCAGCGGGTACTCCAGCGGTGTCATATTTTAGTTTTACTAATTCTAGTAACAATTGGCACACTTTAATGATTTTCGCCATATTTAGAGTGGTAATTGCTAATATGATTACTTAATTGAACAATTTTCAGAGAATTTTTAACAAAAGAGAAAGAGCAGATGACTAAAATAACAATAGGATTTAAGTATTTGGTGCGCAAACTGATCTTACCACTTCGCACAATGCCATCAACATGCATCAATTTTTTTCATTCACTTAATTAAATTTTCTTACAATTAATTAAATTTCAAGTAAACATGAGTTACTAAATTTATCAAACATAAGTTACTGATGGATTTCCTTGGGTCACACAGATAATAATGACCGTCACAGGTGGTTAGTGTATAGTGGGGGGCACGACCGCCCCCATCTCCACCCGCTCCCACTCCACCTATTCCACCCCCACTTTCGCCAACTTTGAAGGCTATTAAAAAATTAGCAAATTGGTTTTGCAGAAAAATTTTTGCACTTTGCAATCAAAACATATCTTGGTGCATGCAAAAAGTTAAATTAGAACTCATTTTTCAACTATCATAGAAAGGGTATCCCTAGTGAGTTCCATAATCTAGAGACGATCTGATTTTTGGCCAATGAACTAAACTGATCCATAAGATTTGCTGGTATCGCGTGGTCCCTAAAGTCAGAAACCGTGAGGTTAGTTTGCTTTGTGAGATCAAATGATGTTCTGCAATCTTCCCGTTTCAGAGATATAATTCCATTTTGGACGTGAAAACTGGCATCAAATCTAAGGCGACTTGTCCCGCTCCATGTTGCTGAACCATTCGCAGCAAATGGCAAAATGTCCAGGACCGCCCCCACGGATTCAAATTGGCCTAATTCGGTGTTCATAAATAAATTCGTACTTATATTTCTTACTGTTTCCTTTTAAAATCTTCCCAAAAATTGGATTGAGAAACTAAATTACCTGAAGAAGTAATGGGGTTAATGTCATTTTCAAAATATACACGGAAATTACCACCATTTAAATTTCCGGACACACTGGATGGATTCGGCCGGTGCTTAAACCATTCGTAGATCCCTGACCCGCTGACCTTACTAAACATAATTAAGATTAATTTGCCATAGATTAGCTTAGTAGCAATTATACATATGTACATTTTCAATTGAAGCCAGTGTTACGTACATACCTCAGCTTTGTTTTGAGATTATAAATTTCTCCCGTCATTATGAATGGCGATGGGTCATCGATTCCAAAAGGCTCGGTGAGGCGTTGGTTCTCCCAGAGCCATTTGTAGAAACACTTTAGTTTCCAAGTTACAAAGTTGGTTAAGCCTTTGTCTGGAGCTGAAAGGGGATGTTTAGATCAAGTAATTCCAGGTTGACCTTTGAATCGTATTGGAAAATTTGATTTGTAATTTACTCGGATGTGGTTGCCCATGTTCCAAATCCGGAATTGATGGGCAGTAGAATGGTAACATGGTTGAAGTTGGGAGAAAACCGTCAGTTGAGGGATGGTTAGGTTAGGGATGTCATTGGTGAAGGCGTGGTTTCAATTATTTCCTCACTACAACCAGTACTCATGGCAACCTATCCGACATTGCGCAACGCTCAGGTACCGTGAATGCAAATAACCTTTCGTACCTAGCGGTAGCAACTTTAATATCGAGAAATTAGTTCCTGCATGAGTACACATATTTCAATTTAACTCTTCATTTAACGTTTACTTAATATGTGGCGATTTTTTAATACATACTTCCTAGGTATATATAATTATAAGTTAATACGCAATTAAATATATGGACGTGTCAAACTGCTTAAGCTTGAAAATATGTATGCATGCATTATGAACATTCGATAAGCCAGAACAGATACGTATATATGTAACAATCATGCTAGTAAGCAGCTGCCTGTACCACGTATGCATGTAATATTTCGAAATTAAACTTTTACCACATCGACGGCAAATTTTTACGGACCGGTATAACTCTGATACCAAACGATATTTACGTTAATACAGAGCAATCAATAAATGCATACATATATGCCTAACTGACTATACCCGTTTTCTAACAATGTACATTACCAATTAAATCCTTGCTCATTAAAACAATATCATTATCAAATCGATACATGAGTCAATTAAGATAACAGTCTGCTTATCAGCCACGAGCCGAGGTATGATTGTCATCCTTCCTTGTCCAGCGCACACTGTCCTTCTACTCACCAACAAAGTCTGGCCCAAAAAATAATAATTTCTACTCATCTGTAATTTAAGTTTAAGTTGAAAAATGTCTCTTAAAATCATCTTTACATTAGCAATTCTTCATCTGGCCAAAGTTTCTGCAGTCATTTATCTCCGAGCAGGAGACACCTGTGATAATTCCGATGTGGAACGAATCTGTGATCCTAGCCTATTTTTAAACTGTATCAATTCAATTTGCGGATGCAACGACACCCTTCAGTTGGAACAACCTGCGTCATACATACTTGCAACATGTGCCATAAAATTGGGCCAAGTTTGCCAATCGGATGTGGACCCTGCCAAACCAGGCTGTATTATCAACTCAAAATGTGTCACAAAATCTGAAATCGATCTGAACGGAATTTGTACCTGTGTCGAGCCTGACTCACCTTCGCCGGATGGCGATTTCTGTTATCATCTGGCTGATAAGACGAGCGAATTTTGCGGACAATTAATGCCTGGAGTGACTTGCAATGCAGAAGGGAAATTATTTTGCTCCTCTGGGAGTCGGTGCACGTGCGAGGAAGGGTAAGCAATTATAGATACATACGTTTCTCATATAAATAAATTTTATTTTAAAAATAATAATGTCAAACTTAAATTTGTGTTCCCCATGATCATGGTTCTTTATAAAATTATTCGCAATTTCATGCCGGACTCGATTTCACAGTTTCTCATTGAATAAGATTTACTTATAAAGGGTTGAAACATTTCTCAGGTGGATTTCCGCCGGCGGCTGCTACGCGAACTATACGTATCCTTGCAAAACTAGCAGCAATCACACTTGGGAACTGTGTCCGCCCCCAGCTTATGGCGAGTATCACCTCAAATGCAGCAGTGAAGAAAATGGTCAATGTGAATGTCTTTTTCACGAAGAAAATATATGGATTCCCAACCCAAGCGGTGGCCCCGGAACGTTCCCGGGTTGCTATTTTCGTCCCGGGGCATCCTGCGAGGATATCCAAGAACATGAAATGTACTGCGTCGAACTTTCCCGATGCCGAGGGATTAGTCGTAAGATTTAACTAATGTGTACCAATAATTTCCGAATCCCCCTACACTCTTAAAAGCAATGTTGCCCTTTTATAACGTAAATGCACACTCAATGTTAAATTTAGTAAACTATACTCAATCCAAATCAAGGTTAACTTGATCAGTAACAAACTTTACTCCAGATTTACTATACTGGAAGTATAGTTTGACTAATATAAAATTAAGAGTTGATTTATTTAAAAAAAGGTAACTCTATTTTTAAGAGTGGACTCCTTTCTTTTTTACAGCGAACCGCGTATGCACCTGTGTTGACTATTTCGCGCCCAATGACGACAGCACGTTGTGCCTGCACGCTCCCGCCGAACTGCTCGAATATGGAGAAAACTGTCGCGACACGTATCCCAGAGCAGTTTGCAATTCTTTCAACATGTTAGAGTGCGACTATCCGTGTTTCGATTGTGTTTGCGTTTGCCAATCGGGTTACAGCATTAATACTGCCCTCAATTTATGTCAAGCTGCACATGGGTCGGTTTGCGACTCCGTGGAAGGTGCCCCATTTCCAAATATGACTTGCAACTCGGAAGAATTTCTGACTTGTGTGGATTCAAATTGCGCGTAAGAACGATTTAAAATAACTTTTATAAACTTGTTTCGTTAGATACTGTAAAAAAATTGGCAATATGGCAAAAAAAATATCACGAAAGCTCCAAAATGGCGGAATTAATGTCACATTTTGCAAAAATGGAGAGCTAAGTACTTGAACAAGGTTTCCTGATTTTCGCCAAATGTGACATTATTTTCGTCAAAATGTACTTAAAAAACATTTGGTCTTTAATTCATACTTGGAATGAGTGATTATTTTTATTATAAAATAATATATTTTCATTGTCAAGTTTTTCGGTGAAAGATTTTTCGCCAAACTGACGCTATTACTGTTCCGTTTTACCCCGTTCGTTCTTGTATCAAGTTTGGGCAAACAACGCGGAAAAAATTCCACAGGACCTAATGAAATTTGAACTCAATAAGCAAAATAATTAAGTAAATTTGTTCTCAAAAATACAGCTGTGAAAACGAAGCCACCCAATATTTCAACCCTATCACGTCCGAATGTGGACTTCTCGCCCATGAAAATTGCACCACTCAACCAAACACGATCCGCTGCACGCTGGGCACCACGTGTCAGCACATCCAAGACAACACTTCCCGTTGCCGCTGCCCGACAAGGATGAAAGCTACCGAAAATCGGACCGCATGTGAACAAAACCCTACCCTCGTAATCTTATCGTTCAACGAAACCTGTGACATTTGGGACGTCGAAACTTCATTTTGCAACAATCTACAAGATTTATCTTGCCAAGGCTCAATCTGCTCTTGCCCAAGTGAAGGACACGTCTGGAACGCTGAGTGGGAATCTTGCTACGCCGGGTATCAAACTGATTGCGTTCCTTTCTCAAGTAAAACGAGCGAACAGTGTGATCCAACCAGTTTGACGACGTGTTTATCGACTGACGATAAGTGTGGATGTTTGGTTTTTCAGCTTTGGTGGAAGGACCGATGTCACACTTTAGTTGGGCATGATTGCAGAAGTGATAAGTCGATTTGTGTCGAGAATGCAGAATGTGTACGAGGTGCCTGCAGTTGCGGGGAAGGTTTTGTACCAGACCCGGAGTTAAATTTTGGACAATGTATGACAAAAGAAGGTGGGGCGGGATCTTCGATTAACGTGAATATGTTCTTGCTGATTACACTTATCGGAAAACTATACTTGGTTAAGTTTTGGACTAAATGTGGATTCATGTAAAATCATGTAAATATCCATATATGTATGATGACACGATCATGTAAGCTTCATCTAATACAATTGAATCGTTTAAATAAAAATAGGAGAATAATGTTGTACGAATTGTTTAAGTGAATTTCAAAGTTGTTAGCTATCAAATTTTGGAGGGATTAAAAAATAGAAAGGCATTTTTCGCATCTTGATTCATGGTGATTAACAATTTATGAACTTTAATATTGGACATACATACATACGCTTACATACATATACAGTTGTTTTGCGCATTTTTAAATACAAATAGTGTCAAAATAAAGTATGCAAGTGCAAGGTGAATTCAAGGTTTTAAAACTGATAGACATATACATATGTACTTGTCTGTTGATGACACAAGTTCTTAACGAATATTTCCACGGGTTCTATGGACATACATGTATTTAAATTCAATTAGCGAGCCTATACATCATTTATTCCCATTAATCGCTATTGTTCGGAAATCCATTTTCCAGAAAAATCTGCTTGAGACAATACGCCGACATTTTAGGAGTTCTCCGTCTTCCTGGATCGGTAAAGTTTACCGCCACCACGCCAAAATTAATGGAATACCCGTTCTGCTGCAAATACTGTTGGGTTTTTCGGATGTTTTACACCCCGCCTGCAATGCTTGCAGCTACGTCACGGCCTTATGCAGACATCATGTTGTGTTTTCATCCGACCATTTTTTGGGTCTTATAATGACTCCAAAATTATTTGCATATATTATCATGAATTTTAGTGTGCAAATTGTTGGTACTTGTAAAAAAGTGCGTTCTACCGTGATGGATGCTGCATAATGATCTGTCTGAACGACCATCACGTGACTGCAAGCATTGCAGGCGGGGTGTAAAAGTATCAACAAGGTCAACAGTATACGTACACAATTGGATCATAACTTTTGAGAAAATTCCCGTCAACCACTGTAAGTCTGTAATCGTGTAAACTTATGTACCTAACTTTCCAACTTTTGACGAAACTTGGGATCGTTTTTTGTTTTTAAAGCTATTTTGCTTACGAACTAATTTACAAAAACATTAGGAGATAAATAAAATCATAGGCTGTTTTTGGTTTGCAAGCTGATTTTCGTAAACTTACGGGTTACGGACGTAAGACTACTCTTCAGGATGGATTTTTCAGACACAAAATTTAGCAACAAAAAAAACTTCATTAGCATTTTGCCAACTGATTTTAATAAACACTCCCATTTGGTATACACACTTTGTAGTAAAATTCAAATAATACCATTGAAGAAGTAATTTATTCCAAAGCAATGCACCTGCCGTTTCACGGAAGAAATCCGTCCTGAATACTCGGCTTTGTCAATTCGGACATGAAATGGCTCATTATAAATTTTGTAAATCTATATTATAAGCTGGAAATGTTTGTCTGCAACGGAAGTGAAAGTAATTTTCCGTGATGGAAGTGAAAGTGGAGAAAGTTTCACTTCCCTTGCAAAGAGACATTTCCAGCTAATAATATAGATACAATAAAAAAATAATTCCGTGTAATTATGAACAATCCGACTGAATTTTCACGAAAATCAAATAAGCCCGTCGCCCGGTGGGAAACGGGCTTATACGCTAGTATTCTTATACAAGAGACCTAAATACAAAAATCGAAATCCTACCCAATCAAAGCCATCTAGCAGACTCCAAGCCACATACATGCGCACATTAACCCCATCAAGTATCACCGATTTTAACATCTCGTTGATATAATCTCGGTGAAAGCTTATCCTGCCGTAATCCTCCAGTCCGTCAGGCCAGCCGCCGTATCCATTCTCGAGAACGTAAATTTCCGGATTTCCGTACCTCATTTTTACCCAAGAAAGCATTTTTCTAAATCCCCGAGGTGTAACCGAGTTCCCGTGTAGGGAAACAGGGACCCATTGCGGGTCAGCGGACAGCTTAATGCCTACGAAGCCGAATACATCCCCCGTCTTGTTGGGTGCAGCTATTTCAACAAGTCGTGTAGTGTAATAATTAACCCCTAAATAATCCGAGGTACCTGAAATTTTTAAACAGGTGTGTACATACATATAATCTTAATAACTTGGTGAGGGGGTCAGTAGCAGAACTATAGATTCGGGGCCGGTATGTGAGCTGGATATGGGGGCCTAAATCTAAATTAATTGTTATAAGTGGGAGTCATTTTTTTCGGAAGTTTAGTTACGAAGTTTATTGCAACTTGTATTGCAACTAAAATTTTGCATCGAGGATACCATGCTACAAGTAGGTTTTTCAAAAATTTTCCAAGTATTTTTAAATTATGCTAAAAGATGAGCGAAAAATGCAGAAAATGCAATCAATTTCAAACCATGAGAAATTTCAACAGAACCTAGATTTTCAACTTTTCAGTCCATGCAAACATCGTAATCCCACCGCACCGTTGGATTGAAATTTATGGAGTTGGGCTAAGGATCAATCACCAAGCGTTAAAATTCTAAAATTTGGGATTAGAGATGGCAATTAAGGATTAATTAATCCCCAACCCTAATCGCAATCCTTACTCCTGGATTGACAAGTCTTTGATTATAAGAGGCCGCAACGCGGCCTGCAGAGACAAGTTATGAGAATAATTGTAGTGATTATGACCACGCAACATCAGTTAAGGAATATCTACTTGGACTGTGTGTGTCTGCTTTTTTTTACTCCTGCACCACTTGGGGCCGGTTGAGATAGGCAGACGGAGCTTATAAAAGTGGTTCACAAATGCGCGCTAAACTATTCGTGTGTAAATATTCCTGACTGAATGAGTGAGATATTGGCGCTTAAGATCTGTCTTAGGATGAGAGACCATCTACATGTCATCTTCAGATCCTGATGCCCTTTGCATATGTTGGAGTTCCCTATGAGTATACTAACGCCCTCAAGTGGTTTGATGCCATGGCCCCATTTGCGCCCGCCACACCCCCTCAAAGGTGGAAAAACACGAATAACGCCCTGTTTTCATGTACTTCAACTCAGAGCTCGGCGGATATCGGGTGAAAACCTCCAAATATCCGGATATATATCCATTTCCGGGCCAAAACCTCGCCCTCCAACCTCCATCCTCCAATATCCATCCCAAAGTCTCGCCCTCCAACCTCCAAATATCCGATATCCGGGCCAAAATCTCGCCCTCCACCCTCCAACCTCCAATATCCATGATATCCGCCGAGCTCTGCTTCAACTGTCATTAAAAATCAAATTTTGCTCGGATTTTAATGAAGTCACATTTTTGTGATCCCAGATACTTGGGTGGTCATATCCAGGCGCAATCTCAACATTTTTGAAATTTTTAACTTTTTCGAATAGTTCATGACCAGTGGAATGTCCAAAAAATTCGAAAATTTCAAATGGGTTGAGCTATCTACTGGATGTGATCACACAAGTATTTATCTGGGATCACAAATATGTAAATTTTATTAAAATCGGAGCAAAATTGGATGTTTAATGACAGTTGAAGTACACGAAAACGGCTTTTTTCGTGCTTTTCCACCTTTGAGTGGGTGTGGCGGTCGCAAATGGGGCCATGGCATCAAACCACTTCAGGGTGCCAGTAAACTCATAGGGTACTCCAATATATGCAAAGGGCATCAAGATCTGAAGATGAAATGTAGAGGGCTTCTCCTACTTATAGTTAGAACCAGTTCTGTATCTTACAGTACAGCCTGTGTACATATACTACATATAAACATTTTTGCGTCAATCAGGATGCATAAACTTTTTTGTTGTCCGTGGCTTCTCCTAAGGGGGTGATGCCAGAATGAAAATTTTCATTACAAAATTGAGAGTTGGGGAATTTTTGCGCTTTTGTCATGACAACCGTTCAAATCCATTGCAAAATTGCATGCAATTCCCGAACTTTTAATTTTTGAATAAAGACTTTCATCCTGGCATCACCCCCTTAGGAGAAACCACGGTCAACAAAAAGGTTTATGCACCATGTGCGGCAACTAAAAACAACTTGCAAAATGTGCAAGAAATAGTAACAGCTTTAGATTTACCAGCGTACAAATTTCTTCGAGTAATTATTCCTATTTTAAAATATTTTAATCGTCAATGAAAAAAATCCAATAATATATACACACAAGCGTCCGACGGACGGGGGCCGACTCATCTTGGGGGCCAATATGTGGAACCTCCGCCATCTACCCCTATTTGCGCCAGTGGAGGGGGTAGGTGGAGGGGCGAGGGGCTTGTCTACAAAATCGGGATTTTTTGAGTTACATAATTTGTGAACGGGCCTTCAGGTTCCCTTGTCAGTGGTGATGTTTGGTTGCACAGAATTATTTTTAAAATATATGTATTCCCTAAAAACTACCTCTGATTTCTGCAGATTCCGGCAAAGTAAAATCCAACCGTGGTGAAGCCACGCCCAAATTCCGGCACAACTTTTCCATAAAGTCGAGGTATCCAGGTGGATACGTTCCGAACACGATTGGGTGAGCAAAACTACCATACTTTTGGTACAAAGGTATGCATGATTAGTGATTGTTAGGAAACAGATTTGGCAACGTTCATAAAATACGTAACCCTAAATCAGCGACTTTTTACCCTCTCGTAACGGATTACACCAACTTTCTAACATGTCCCGTTAACCTATGTGAAACGGAACAACCCAACCCTTCCCCAGCCTCACCTACTAAACATATTTTATGAACGTTCCCTTATTTGTAAAACATTTACCGTCATATCCGTCACATAATCGGCTAATCGGTCCTGCCCTGAATTCCCTGGATTTTTTGCCTCATGCCAAATCGCAAGCAGTCCTATTCCCATCTTTCCACCTTGATTGGGACGAAAAACTCGGTCGTAAAGGTGATACACCCGCGCATGCGCTTTAATCACGTTGTGAACACACTTTTTAGCCTCGTCTGGATTTGTATGTCCTGGTGCAATTATCTGATGAAAATGTTTAACGTGAAAACAATTGATTGTCAAATAATTAACAATTATTATTTAAACTTCACCTCACCCCAAAAAGTATCCATAAAATCAGAGGGCAAACGGTTCGTTAAATGTGACCCATTTCCGGACACGATCTCCAAACAAGCGAAACGCGAGATGTGCAAAGTTCGTGAAGTGATGGATAACTTCTTCATTTGGCCAACCACCAATCTCCATCAGAGGTTGGGGCAAGTCCCTAAAGATTGAATTTAACTATAAAAATTCAACCACACAATTTTGTAGCTGTTTATTAAGGAGTCAAAACCCCTTTATGGAATTGTCTTGTCTATCTGTCTGTCCGTCCGCATCCACAATAACTTTAGCACGAATTAGAATTTCGAGATACAATTTTCGCCAACGTGGTTCTAATTCTTGAAGTACGGGATGAGTTCGAACATGGGCGTCGTTCGTGGCATTCCCTGTTCTGGGAATATGCTTTGGCACGTTGATTTGCTACACTGCTTACCAATGATGAAGGGTAACAATTGGTTCGATCCCATTTGCAATGAGGAGGTTAATCAGATTGTTGTAGTGCTGGATCCCCGCCGGATTTATGTAATCGATCCGTCCCGTGGGAAGAATTCTGCTCCAGGATAAACTGAAGCGATACACGTCAGCCTTTGATTAATTAAGTAGATAGAATACAATAAAATGTAATGAATTTTCGATCAAATGTAAATTTATGTATACCGCAAAGAATTTTAAAAGTGAGACGTCCTCGTGATAAGCGTGATACGAATCGGCTGCAATATCGCCGGTACTTCGGTCAATAATTTTGTTAGAGTTGCGATGTACGAATTCGTCCCAGGTGTTAATTCCCTTCCCTGGATTGTTTAAAGTGAGCAGTGTAACATTTTACAATTAGAATAAATGCCCCATTTGGTACAATTTGTAGAGAAATTCAAGCATTTCAAGTTAAGGACAATTCAACTTAAGGATTAATTTAATACAAAGCAATTAACTTGTCGAATTAATTTCAATTAACATTTCGCTTGAAAAATCCGCCTCGAGTAAATGGGATATGTAAATATATAAAAATGTATGTTTTACCATCCTCTCTCCATGCTCCCTCTCCCTGAATGCAAATGCAAATTTGTCAGGACGCAAATTTGATTTATAAGTAGAGTCTAGGCGAAAATTATTGAGGCAATTCGCGTCAGCTTTCGTAAGACCGTAACCATACATATACATACTTTGATATTTAGATGGAGGACATTAATTGGGACGTAAATTAACGTAAATTAAATGAAAATTAATGTCAAAAATTTAAAATATTTTAAAACTAATAAAAATTACTGATTGTTTTGTGTTTAGAAAAATTAAAAAGTAAAAAAAAACATAAAAGAAACAATCTACCACGGGAGTTTGAAGGATATGCATAACTCTGTGACCATAGCTACGTAAATTTATAAACTTTTGACAACAACTACCAATAGCTCTTTTACAATTTAAGCTGAAATATGCAATTACAAAACCTTATTCATGAAGATGAAATACATATTTTTCGTTGTTAAGCTAATTTTCGAAAGTTTACTTTGTTATGGGCTTATGTATTTACGAGGAACTTATGTATTGATGTGAAACGTCTCACAACAATTAAATAGATATTCAAAATACTGTCATATGTACAATGAATTAAAGGAATTGAATAGCAAAATAAAATTCCAACTAATCTTAATTTGTTATTTACCTGATAACTGGAGGAGGCATAACCCTATTGAAAACCCGGGGGAAAAACGTCGTACAAAAACCCGTCTATTTCTACCCCAGACGAGCGTGAAGCGAGATTCAGGATGACAACGGTAATTAATGTCTTCATTACAGATATGTACACTCCTTCCTGGGGTAGCGATGCAATACGGAAATTTGTACGGATCGTTTTTCTTCATTGTATACATACAGATTTTAGCTTATCCATATTAATGGAATTTTTGCGTTGTCTGGCAAATCAGTAAATAATTCCCGAGTAAAAATTTCCTGCACAAATTTGGCCCAATTTTCTGCAGAGAGATTTCTGAGAAAACCTATGCAGAATTATGCACATACGGTTCTGCAGAATAATAGCGGCACACATTTTCTGCAGGATTATATAAAAAAAGAAATATACAGAATACAATATGCATAGCAATTACTGCAGAATTCAAAACGCTGATTTCTAGTCGGGAAGTTGTATAATGGAACAAAAGAATGCATAGTTAGATAATATGGGGCCGTCCATAAATTATGTAGCACGTAACGCGAGGAGGGGTGGTCCAGGGCTCCAAACATATTACACATGTTAAAGGGGGGCGCGAGGTGGTCTATAAAATCGAGCTTTTTACGTTACCTATGTTATGTACGGCAGCAATAAATGCTGCATATTTTAAATCATACTTTTTCTGCATCCTGTATATGTAAAGGCATCGTGTTTATTTAAAAGGACACCTCTGTACTCCCTTTATTTTTCTGGCCCTATATTTACCCAATTTTCTTAGAAGTTACTTTTTAAGTACGGTTATTCGGTCATGGACGCCTACACATCTGCTTAATTATAAATGCAAGATGCGAGCTTACTTTTTTTCGTATGTAAAAGTTTCTTGAGGTTCAGAGATGGCCATACAAAATTTCATAAGCGCCGTATATATATGTATGTATGTATGCAGGTCTGCGGTCCAAACTATCTTTGGCAAGTTGTAGGTATTTTATGCACACAAAATGTAATTGCAAATATGCAACATTTATATTATGTAACTATGCATGTTCGTTTGTGTACCTTATTTACGGATTAGCAGACAATGCAAAAATTGCATTAATATCTATCAAGTTCATAAATGTGTATATATATTTAGTTGACAAGCATGACCCGTAGGAATTAACATGCTGTCTAGCCACCTCACCAAAGAGCGGTCATACCTGAATAATGAGGACATTAACTTTAATAAACCCGGCTTACTTTTCTGATTTTAAAAATTTTTGTTATGCAATTTGCTAGAAGTCTAAATAAATTTCCGTATAAATAACTCCCTGTTTTTGACAAATTCTATGATTTTAGAACATGAGATATTAGCGTATGCATAATAAGCCCGGCTGTCGCCTGGGAGAATGGGTTTAGTTTCTAAAACTCCACGCTATTTTTTATGCTTAGTTGACATTCTACAAGCGAAGCTAATTTTTAATGAATGTTAAAGTAGCAGGGTTTTAAAAATTTTTAAAATCTCCCAAAAATTCTAATATCTAACTATTCAATGGGTCCACCTCACTATCTTTTCTGCATACCCTTGACTGATTTTAAAGTACAGTGGCCAAACCTGCGTACACGTACTGACTTTCACTTCACTTTAACCTTGTTAAGTGGCCTAGATATTCCAAAAATACCCCTATAAGATAAGCCCCCCAGATAACCACCATATAGATAACCACCATTTCACAACTATCCTAAGATGGTTTTGAGATGGTCAGACATTTTTTAATTCAATTTATATTGATTTTTCCCCCTTCGACACTTGGCTTTCTTTATTTTCACTTCCCTTTCGGGAACTTACTGTCAATTCCGGTAGAGAAAGACGTTTCCAACGTATAATACGTGGTGGCCATAAAGTTTCTGATGACTCAAAAAAATTTCAAATCTGTTACTGAAACTTATTTGTTGTTGTGTTCTCGGGACTAATTTTTTCTGAAAATGTCCCCATGACGTTTGTCTTCATTTGTGAAAAAAATTATTACAATAACTCAACGTTTGGATGAATGATAGGGTATACCAGAAAACCATCCGAAATTTGGGTTGCCTGAAATACTGTTAAGTTGTGGAGGAACCGGAAGTAAACATGGGAATAAATTCATCCAGGACGATCCACAAGACTCCTATACAACACTTGGAATGCGTTTTTAAAAAGCATGTGCCGAAAATCTGGTACCTTTACAGTAAAGTGTTAGGCAGTCCTAAATCAAAGAGATTGATTTAATGGATTAAGGTAGAAAATCTGTCGTTCTACTATCCAGAAACATGCAAAAACCAGTGTCTTGGATCACAAAGCCTTCAAGAAGTTCCCTGAAACCCACTTGTCGGGCAAAACTCTCCCCATCGAATTCATTTTGGCGATTTTTTCGAGAAAAACGGCTGCTTGACTGCATATGAAAAGGGGTTGGAAATTTTGGGTACGCACAAGACCTGAATAGATGGTCATCCTGTGGCAAATCCTCACTATACAGGGTACTTAATTGTGTATAGAAACGGAGTTCACGAGGCAAGGATTCCAAAAAAAGACTACATGTAACGGCTTACGGTGGGCGCTGCTCTGGAGGCGTGATGGGATGGGTCATCAGCTTGGCTTGTCAGTATATGAACGAAATGTTTTGCAGTGACCACATCTTGGCTATGTATTTCGATACTATGGAGACTAAGCAGTTTTTTCCAAATTCCAAAGAAATTCCATATTGACATGGTAGAACACCTACCCACACTTCAAATGTTACCATTTGATTTTTCGAGCGACGGTCGTTTACCATCTTGGCAAAGATGGTTTGGCTCGGAATTATCTCGGACATCAACGCAATTGAAAATTTAGGGTCCTATCTCAAAAGTATGGCGTTTAACGAACGTGTTCCGCGTGATACTGCTTCCCTGATTCGACGTTCTACATACGACGTTCTACAAAAAACTTCAGGACCTGCAAAATCGACTGGTAGACGCACAAATTACTTGTGCAGAACATACCATAAACGATTTGGTTAATAAAATTTCTTCCTTGCGAAAATAACCCTCGTTCAAAACAATGATTTGCCTCATCAGAAACTTTATGGCCACGATGTATAGATTTTGTTAAATCGAAATAGTTGGTTTTGATTTGAACCTATACCAGCCTGGAGTTTGCTTCCACCATCATTATCTTATCGAACTTTTTTATTTTACAATATATTTATTTAGGTAGGATTATTTTTTTCCCGGAATGTTTTACGAATTAAAAAGACGTATCTATGATAATAATTTGCATCTTAATGGTTTTTTCTAATTGGAACATTTTCTTGGAATTGATGCAAACTTGTATGAAGTTATAAAAATATATAAGAATTCGCTCACTTCCTAGCATGACAACTTTCTTTGCGTGATTTATGCATGCAACTAAACTTGGATGATTTTACATAAATAGCATGATACACATGTAAGACGTGTCAAAATAATTATCATTGATTGTCCAACCGCGCTATACTTATTTAGTCATAGAAACGTCAGATACGCGTACTCAAAATGGAAAGTTCAAAACTTTATTTTATCCATTTCCTTTATTACATATTACATAAGAATGGGAGCATCTCGCTCTTATGAACCGTGACGATGTGCCCATGAGACAATAATGCGTAAGGAGACCGTTTAAAAGCTAACCCAAGGTTTTTGAACGGGACGGCCAATTCATTGGATACTGGGCGTTCCTTGTCAACTCATCTGTACACCGAGGACTCATTTTTTGTTATCCCATCCGTCCAGAAATAGCCTAATTCAAGGGTGAAATTTTGTAAATACATTTTGTAGAGTACTAATTTCTTGTGTAACTTACACCTAGGGGTCACATTTATTACTCCATCCAACCATATAATCTCCTCCCAAACTTGAAATGCAGCCAGTTCCATTCCCACTTGGTTACATTTATCTCGCGCTTCTATTTGAGTAACCTATATCCAAAGCAACATCGTTTATTTACTCATCATTTACAGAGCTTCTAGCGTGGCGAAAATGAAATTGCAGCTTCCATACGAGTCCTCGGCAATTCGAGTACAAAGTCATTGAGAGACGTCAATAGTTATTGGGCATACTAACTTGGTTGTATGTACCAACATTTAACTCGATACTCCAAATTAATCTAAAATTTATTTGTCACAAACGTAAACAATTAGTCTTACCGTTTGCATTTCAAGGAAATAATCTTTCGCATCATTCCAGGTGCCCAGATACATGAATGAAGCAGGCATTATTGGAGAATGGCCTTCAGGTACGATTTCCACTCTATTTAAATCCCAAAAGTAGGTATTCAAACTGGTGGACTGCTCAATCTTGGTTAAGGAGATAGGTGCAACTTCTTTAATGGGGCTTGTCGCACCGACAATCCCACTAGTTGTCGATACGGTCACCTCGCGAAAACACAGGATTTTGGCCAGGTTGTTACTCGCAGATCCATAAAAAGTACCCTCACGTGAATTAAACCAAAGAGCAGAAGTTTCATAAAGGTCTATACCCAACCCCCTGGCGACTTCACTGCCGCTTGTATGCCAAACGAAGGACGATTCATGTATGAATAGCTCAGCATCTGTCCAGGGGTGATGATTAAAATAAGGACAAAATAAGGTATAGAATTAAAGCATTTCTTTCGCCCCAGTTTGTGGTACCGGTCATTTCAGGAGATGACGAATTGAGAGCCAATCAGCTTCCTCTGGGCTGTCTACCTGTGCAAGTCTCATTCCCTTTACGGTGCAAGTTAATCTCGCCCCTGTTGCAGATGTCTAATGTAACAGTAACAATGAAATTTGTAATCAAACAGAACCAACCGTTGAACAGACCGACCGGGCATATAATTAGGTATGTTATTTACACGAGTCTCATTCTCATAGTAATACTCCTTGTTTCCAAATTGCCCGAGGAAGACAAATTCCGCCAAAGTTTCTTGTTCGTTTTTAACAAGTAAAAGAATTTACTTTATATCATTTATTGAGATATTCTATCCGGGATATTGATTTACCTGAAATCTGTTGGTACCTTGGGCCCACCTTAATAAATAAACAATAAAAAGTATGAAGTCCAGTAATCATTACTAGCATGTTAACGATCGCTTGGTATTAAATACTTGGTATTAAATACGAAAAGTATCTTTCCAATGTCGTACATCCTCTTTATTCTCCAAGGTGCATACTAATTTCAAGCAGGTCGCCCACTTAAGTTATGACACTAAATGCAACTTATTCGATAAAATTTGCACTATTAAATCATATTTGGGCAGTGGTTTCGTGTGCAGATTACACAATCATAACCCAGCCCATATATGCAGTTCATGATCGGCTGAAGTTGAATATCTTCGAACATGCATCAATCAAACATGCGTTACATAAATCGGACAGTTTCTACCTATCCCAAGCACCAGTTGGCTGAGTGTGATCAGTGTTGTCACTAATGAGTTTGGCAATGTTAGTGATAAGGTGCGAAGTTAAATCAATTGTATTCTCTGCATTTTAAATTGTAACTTCATTTATGTTATCACGAGGTGGGATTTACGTGCCGTTGTGTAAGTTGCCTTCTGCGTATGTTGGTCATACTTGATTGATTGATTTATTATATTTGCAAACCTATTAGGCTTTTTTATCCGATGCCAAATTGTCTGATAGTCTATCTTCCTGAATAATTAAGCCAAGTCTACGTTAAGTATCGAAACACTTGATGAGTTGATGTACATAAGTAGGTTTAACTCATAGTTGGGAACTGTTGATTTAAATGAACGTGATTTACCTTAATATTTCATTAATATTTAACTTTTCCAAGAAAATTCACATTTGCCCAAAAATGATTGGAATATATATTTAAAAATCTGTTTTGAGTCGCTTTCTTCTCGTTGTATATATCTCAAGAAAATCCTTATCCTAAGAAAATGAAATATTTGTACACATCATGAGTTTATAATATTGATTGATTTATTAGCAGCCTTTCTGCAGGCCTTAAGGCCCATAAAGGTACATGAATAAGTTTAACAACAGTAACGTATAACGGGTTACATATGAAACTTCAGTTTTTCAAAACAACAAAATCATATTACCAAATTCGATCAATGAGTATAACTATCCAATTTGACAAGTTCAATCAGGACAAATAATACAAGATTATTATCACAACAACTTACATGACAAAGTTGTATACAGTTACAAGATCTTATATGTTAAAACATTACAAGGTAATATCTAACAACTTAACCGGAGACGTGCGCTTTGTACAATTCATATTCTCAACATAGTTTTGTGGTGGTGCGAAGTTGCTCATAATGTCAGTATAAATCACGTTTTGCCAAATACATAGTGAAGTAAAGTAAGTATCCAGTTGTGGGCATTATCCACAAGTAGCACTCGGCATCCCAATACAGGCTAAATACATACAGTGCTTAATACTATATACGAGAGCAAGTCGTTCGTTTGTAATTCATCGTACACTGAGAAAAAGTGCAGACAGTGTCAGGTTTCACATTCCAGGCATGGTGAGGTCAGCATCCCAATGCAGTAACGCAATGATAATGGTCCACCCCCAGCCTTCGCCAAAAATGATGGATGATTGCCAGGTTACATGGGTGCTACCAGGCGTCCCCAGAGACCCGATGGTTCCCAGCGGGTGACCTTTTGGGCGTCCCCTCTAGGCCGAGGTGTGGAAGGCAAGGCGTCCCTATCCCCGCCACACCCTAAAATCCACGGACGTTTGAAAGGACGGCAGCCAGGGGAGATTGACGTAGTTATGTGGCAATTTTCGCGATATAACAATTATCATAATAACTTTCTTTTACAATTACAAAGATTCATATAAGAATATTAAACATATTCGCAGCTTTTCAAGGGATACATTCCTCACCAAAATCGTTTCGTGTCCAATCTTCGACAATTTTTTAGCAGATGCAAATGTCACTAACAATAGTTTACTAGTACATGGTTAACACAATAACATTTCACAAAATTTCCAAAATAGTAATTCTTTTCTTAATTACGTAATTAAATGAATACGCCCACTTATGTAGTCAAGTAAGAGAGTCGAAGAGAGAGCAACCTCACACCACCACGTCTCGCACACGTCTCTATGAGTTTATAATATATGTAAAAGGAAGCTGAGACTTTTGCATAAAAAGTGAAATGAAAATCAGTCAACTTATGAATGTGCACATTGATACGTATGCGTAAATGGAAGGTATTTGTGATGCATGTCGGACTAGGAAAATGACAACATTTATTGCATGCTATGTATTACGAATTTAAAACAATTAATTTCAGGTCAAACAATGAGGGCTTCATTTTTAGGTGGGCACAGCTTCCATGATCAATGGTTGGTGCCCCTTCGACATCGCGTTGTGAACGTTGCTTGATTGTTCTAAGGTAAGGTAAAAACTATGATCATATTTATACCTTCGTTTGCGTTGTTAATAGACATTCATAATAAATTCTTAATACCGCGGGTCCTAATTTTTAAATTCATACTCAATTATTGAGCCTTTATGTCTTTTACCCCTGGTACATAAGTAAGTGTTATTTCGGAAATCCATTATCCATAAAAATCTGTTTGAGATAATACGCCGACATTTTAGGAGTTCTCCCTCTTCCTGGGTCGGTGAAGTTTACCGCCACCACGCCAAAATTTATGCAGTAACCGTTCTGCTGCAGATGTACACAATCGGATCATAAATTTTGGGACAATCTACATTCATGTCAGCCTTCATAAGTCCGTAACCACGTAGTAAATATTACGAACTTTTAACGAAACTTGGGAACATCGTTAA